TTATCTGGCACAGTACTACTGTATCAATATTTGTTAAAATTTAAAATTCCATAAAATTATTTGCATAATATACTAAATTAATGATTAAAATCTTTTTAATAAAACAAATACTAATTGTCCAATGGTATATTAATTGGTATTAATTGCGCACTCTTTGGAATTTCCTTGCAATAAAAAACTTTTTGTAAAAATTTTTTTCCCAAACAATTTGGAAATTTCTTATTTTTATTGATATTTAATGAAGCGGGAAAAAAGACAAAAATGTATGTTAGCGGAAATAATACATAAGATTTTATGATTTAAGCAATTCAAATAACTTATATACTTCTCATTCTCATCATCATGTAGAAAAAAAAAAAGGAAACCATTTCTAAAAAAAATAAAAAAAGAAAAAGAAAAAGCAAAAGTCTCATCGATAAGCTATCCATTTTGGTTTGTTATCGTTATCAGGCTATACCATCAACAAAACATTTGCATGCGTAAATGATTTTTCACAAAAACGTCCCACCTTCACTTTTACATAAATAATACTAAAATGGATCATTTGAGATTATTTTATGCATATGCTTAAATGTGATCTTAATTTATATTCATATTCATATGAATCAATAAATGATAAATTTAAAACTATCAATTTCTTTTGATTCAAAATTTTTTACAAACATATATACAGTTTTGAAAATACTTCAGTGGTCAGAGAATATTTTTTTTTTCTTATTGATCAAGAAAGCTTTTTGTGGTCAGAAAAAAAAAATATATATATATATATGATAACTATTGATAGATTACTTTCTTATTTGATATAAAAAATAGAACTTTGCCAAGATTAACGGTTATAATATTCAAATTATCAATGTATTTTAATGTTATTTAATGATTTCCCTCCATCTATTCACTTTTTTTTTTCTGACTATATTGAGATTTTTTTTTTTTTAACCATTAAAGTTTTTTCAACAAAATTATTTATCTTTTCTTAAAAATTTTTCACTCAGTCATTCAATCGTAATAGGCTGACAAATTTGAATGATCAATTTAATCTTTGATCTAAATATGTATGTAACTTACATAAAATTGTAGGTTTTATAGGGGGGAAGAATGCAAGATTTATTCAATATTTGCATAATTTTTTGTGACTAATTTTAATATTTTTACTTATTATAAACTTTAAAATTTGCCTTACAGTAAATGGATGAAATTAAATTTCTTTATTTTTTACTTATATCAATTGCTATATATATATATATATATGTCAACAAATCAGTTAATATAATGCAACAAATCATTTCCTCAAATTATAAATTCCATTTTTACTATTTTTTATTTCTTTTTTTCTTTAAATCTCATTTTATAAATTTGATAGCTTTTTTCTATGAGATGACACAGCTTTTGCTTTCTTGCTTTTTTGCTTGCAACATTTTGTAGCGATACTATCATCGCTACAAATTCATTATACCAGCTGCTTGTTCGATCTCTGAACGATACGTTACGATTTGCTCATATGATTGTACGATCCATTCCCTACACATACTATCAATGCAATTATTTTGAGAAAGAAAACCAAAAAAAAAAAAAATAAAAAAATAAAAAAAATAAAAAGAAAAGAACGTGTTAGTTAAATAATTT